AATCTTTTACTGCTGTGTTTCATTACCTGGAAGTGTTTCTGCTGTTACTTACTGTTTTAACCAAAACAGGTGTCTGCAGATCAGACTAATATTGAAACTAGAACTGGTCTAAAAAATGCGATCGCTATGAAAAACCAAAGAGGTTTTAGACCGGCAAGAGTCTAAAACTGGCGTTGGGTACAGTTTCTATTCCCGTTTCCTCCCCAGACTGCAAAGTAAGCCCATTAAAACCTTCAAAATGTGAGGAAAATGGTTGTGACTGTCTTCATCTCCACTGTAACTCTGCACATGTGCATAAAGACAGCAAGAATCACTCACCGTGAAGCTGTTGTTGACATTCTTTGTGCTGGACTCTGCAACACTGGCATCTGATAGATCCACCTCATCGAAGATAAGGGACTTCAGCGAGGAGAGGGAGAGGGAGGAGAGAGATGAGAACGAAAAAAATAAGCTTTTTTACAACACATCAGGTTAAGCTGAGCCTGTTGTGAACTGTGGTATGAGGACAAATGTGATGCAAAGCTTAAAAGGAAACTTTTTAGGATAAAATGGAAACTTGATATATGAGAAATATTAAGGACTTTCTGGACAATACAAAAAAAAACATCTTAAAAGCATTTCTCACTGTCTTCAAACATTTTTCCAAGCCAGCATAAGCTGAGTGTTATTGCAATAGTTCAGTTTGTTTCATTAATTTCAACAAATGCAAAAAGCTAAGCCATAAACAACACTAAGTGAACCGGTTACGGTATTATATTACACATTCTGGACTACATGGAGTCCTCCGTGATCAGATCTAATCTCATAGAGGGGATCGGGTTATGGCCACATATCATTAATTGACGCCATCTGTTATGATATTGTCAAACTGAATCAGCACGCAGCTTATTATTAACCACCCACTAGCAGGATTAAGCTTCCCTACTGTCACTGTCTCTTAAACTAAATGAAGTATTTGCAAATGTGACACAGAGGTAGGTAGTCCTTAAGACAGGGGTGTGTGGGCTTTTTGTGACATGGGCCAAACTTGTCAAAAGGACCGATGGGTCCAAAAAATAAGGGATCTGGGGGGAAAAAGAGGGAAAAAAAGGAAAAACAATTACAGTGATTTTTTTTTTTTACCTGCTCCACAATAAACAAAGCTGTAAAACTTTAATTAAATCAGTTGTCACACAACTTTTGTTGGAAAGGGATGTAAATGATTGTAAAACATAAAAGCGGGTTTTGGAGGCTCGCCCCTTTAAAGGAAAAGGGTCCACTTTGTGAACTTTTAAAGGAATTTCAAAGCTCAGAATGAACTAAAAATGCTAGAGCAACACAAAGAATATTTGTGTCACTTTAATTGAAAAGCCAAGTTAATTTAAAAGCAGATCGGGGTGCATCCAAGCCTGCAGGACACAAAAAGCCTGGTTACTGAAGACTTTGTGCTGCAGCCTATATTTTCTATTGTAAAATGTCTATTTTACGTGTAATTTTGCCCCGGTAAGAAATATATGTATCATTCTTGAATTCCCATCTTCGGACACCCCTGGCTTAAAGGAATAATTCAGATAGTATTTTTTACAAGCTTTGACAACTAAATATTAGTGTGTTTGCATTCAGAAAGCAGAAATTATTATTTAGCAAACAGCTAGCTAACAGAAAAAACAAAGAGTCTCAAGAAGTGCTTGATATCAATGCTTTTTACAGAAATACACCTTCACATAGAAGGGGTTCTTAACAAATCAGACCATGGCAGTTCTGAAACAAACACCTAACATAAAAGTTTACAATAAGTGAGAACATGTTAGCTTGTTAGCTGCAGAAATGCTCACCACAAGTCAACACCCTTTTGAGGAGCTAGAGCTCCCTTCTATGTTGTTTCGCCTCTTTCCCTGAATGAGGAAGGCCTGAAGATGATAGCGGTGGATGCGGCTGTGTGTTGTTAAAATTTGGGTGTTGGAGGAGCTGGAGTCAGGCATGGAGGAGAGCCGGCGACTACAAACAGGAACATGATATGCTAACTGTGCTGTGATGTGTAAGGCACGCCACTGAGCCGAAACGGCTGTGGGCCAAAACCCGATGCCGTCAAAGGAATGCCCTCTGACTCTGTGTGTGTGTGTGTGTGTGTGTGTGTGTGTGTGTGTGTGTGTGTGTGTGTGAGAGGAGTGAGCTGCTACAGCTGTCAGAGGGAATGCCCAGTCAACAACACTCTCCCCAGGCCTGGCTGGAGAGGGAGGGATCCCAGCCAACACTTGCTCTGTGTGTGTGTGTGTGTGTGTGTGTGTGTGTGTGTGCGCGTGTGTACATGTATATGTGTGTGTGTGTGTGTGTGTGTGTGTGCGTGTGCATGTGTGTGTGCCAGCATTTCCACATACAGCTGCAAGTGTGTTCATAGCAGATGCTGGGATGACTGAGCGTGGATGGTGGCTCTATGCTAGCGACATGCTATCGTAACTTCTCTTCTGTATTTTTCTGTCAATGTTCTCACCGTCACACCACCGGCGCTACTCACAATGTCACACACTTACATATGTGTGCGTGTGTAAAGCCGTGGTAAAAGCTGAAAGATGGGTGGACAGATGCAGACATTCAGACCCTGTGTTACCAATAGAACCACTGAAGTACATACAGTCACTAACTCGGACGGATGGACTGATGGATGAATAGAGAGGTTCTTTGTTGTCATGGTTATTTTCCATGTTGGATGTGTTTCTTTGCTCTGAAGCTGATTTCGTGTCTAAGTCAGTGACGGCTGATGAAGGAGAGGAGGACGAGCTGAAGGCTGCTGAGATGAAGCCTCTCCAAGGATCAGTGAGGAGGTTAGCGTTCCTCTGAGCAGCAGCACAACCAGCCAGGCCATCTTAGAGACACTAAGAGGATGGACATGTTGGACAGTGGACACTAACTACAGCTATACAGAAGGACAGAACCAGCTCAGGCACAAGACTTTGCTTCCTTTCACATTCCAGTTCAAATTAGTCTTCCTACAGGAAAGTTTGGAAGTTTTCTGAAATGCAGCAAGACAAACTAAATCTGTATTCTCTCAAATTTTCAAAGCTAGCATTTTTTTTTTGTCTTCACTGACCAACTGTTTTTGCTCATATATTTTTAGAACACATAAAACCAAATGTTTTTAGTCACACTTTCTCACTGGCTGAAGTCTTAAAATAACAGCCCAGTAGAAACGCACTTCCCCATGTTTGTTAAAAAATAAAAAATAAATCTAACTTACAAGCAACTTTTCAGCAAGATGTAGGAGTTTGTTTTAATTTCAGTAATTCCTTAATATTGATGGATGCAGATTATTTCACTTATAACCAAACATTTTCCATTGTTTTAAGTAAAATAATCTGCCATTACAAGTCGTACTTTTGATCAATATGAAGGAATTATTGACTCAAAACAAGTTCCTATTACTTGCTAAAAAGTTACCTGTCTTAATTCAAGTGTAAGACATTTGTACCGAAACTAGATAAAAATACTTGATAACATTTGGTGTTTTTAGTGTTTTAGTGTAGATCAGGAGTTTCCAATGTAATTCAGTGATTTTCTAAAAGACTAAGTGTTTAAAACTTCCTTAATAACCTATGGAAAAATTGTTACTGGCATGACAGCAATCAAACCTTCCTTAGACTACCGAGGAGCTTTTTCATGATTCAGGCCTCTGCCTACATTGTTGGCTTACAGCTTTCTCAACGAACAACACAGCTTCAAGGTGCTCCTCTGTGTAAAACATGTCGGTAACACAAGCTGGGCGTCACATAAATGACTGTGATCAACTTTTGCTTTCTCGCTATTGCAAAGTTGGTCGGTAAGAAGAACAAAAATGACTTCTGCAAATCAGTAAAATGAACAAAAAGGTGGATTTGTGTAGCTTTTCAGAAAACCCAAAAACTTTTCAGGGAACAGAGAAACTGTGCAGCAACATGGGACCAAAAAAACAAAGACTACTGAGAAGCCGAATGAGGCTAACAGTGATAGTTGATGATTTCTACAGTCTAAAGGAGTCTGAATAATGAATGAACAGCTTGTTGGCTGACTTTTTCATTTGACCTTCAGCTGATCTCTGGCACTTTTGTTTGATCTTCGCAGATAATTAAAACTAAACAATAATCTTTTTTTAAAAGTCACTCAAATCAAACTGAAAGCCTGTTTCATAGTTTTCATTACTTTTATTTATTATTTTTTTCACATTTTATAACCTTTCAAATTTAAATAAAGCGTTCCTTTCATACATATTTTTGATTCCAGGCGGCTTTGTTTCTGGACTGGCAGCTTTTCCAGTTTGTACACCATCTCTAATTTTGTTCCCAGTTCCCATCTGAAGGAGGCTTGCTGTGCCTCAATTACTCTGTTGTTTGTTCCTATTTTTGTGTCTTGGATCAAACATAAAATCGATCGTGTAACAAACAGCCACTCTCTCAACGAAGAGCTCCTTACACCTGCTGACACACAGCTGTGTGTGATTGTGGTGTTTGGAAATATTGTTTTTACTTATTGACAATGGGGTTTGGAAAGAAATGAACAAAAGCTGGGAAGAAGCAGAGTAAGGACGTTCATTTCTTAGTCTTTTTTGCTGATTACTGACATTTGATCAATTATTGTTAGACTGACTGATTTATTATTTCATTTATTTGTTTTTAATCTTCATTTTGACACCCCGTGTTAAACACTGTTTCCAAGCTGCCTTGCATCAGAATCTTGCATTTAATTTGAGCAATTTGTGAAATTTAAAATAGTTGTTTTTTTTCATTTCGAAAAAAGAAATGATACAAGGCCACGGAGTTAAACTTATAATTTTGTACCTGTTTCAAATGGATTATTTTACTCTCATTTCAGATTGATTTAGGATGTAGATCAGCTTCCATTAGGATTTGTCCTCCACTAACTGCGTTGACCATATAACTACGCAATTTGGAAGTACGAAAATAAATTTGCCTAATGAAAACATGACAATTTTTTTTACGTTTTTGTGCTAAGTTTCGATGTGTTTTTTTTTTTTTTCCGGCTGCATCAGAATTTGTGTATTTTGCAAAATTGCAATAGAAACACTTTTTCCGCATCACATGAGTCACATGATCAAATACCGTATGTTACTACTGGTGGAAACAACAAAGACGACAACAGGAAGTGGGAGGAGAATGAAGGCGTGACATGTAAGTGTCAAAACTTATTTGTGTGATTTTAAATACAATTCTTATTTAATGGAAACGATTGTGAAATTGTGACTTTTGACATTAGTTGAATATTGACAAAGTTTTGCGCACATCTGCGCAAATGCAGCTACCGTCTTCTCAGTAGTCTCGGTTTGGTCCCTCTTTACTGTCACAGAAAGCCATGCTCTTCTCTTATTCAAGATTTACATTCTCTAAACCCCTTTGAGCCAAATCTGGACTTATATGTTAACATACAGTGCATTCATGCCATCCAGAAAAACCATAAGGGTTTATTCTGTTACTTAAGGAGCACTGAACGCTTCTGCAGCCTTCTGACATGAATGCAGCACTACTGCATATCGTGGGTCTGGCCCCGTGGCTTAGCCGTTCTGACCCGAATTCTCACTAGGCCCTCCTCAGATCCACTGGCACCAAGAGGTGGGGGGGAGCGCCGTGCGCCCGTCCAGCACACGGACATGACTCGCCAGCACACGCGGCTCCTGGACACCCTGCGCAGCGCCCGCTCCTGCCACCGCGCCAAGGCGCTGCCAGACTAGTCCACGTGCAAACACACACAAACAAACACACACGTGTTTCATTCCATGAGAGTTAGGTTAAAAAACAGAAAAGGAAAGAGTTGTTCACAACTGTGAATAGAGAAGTTGTTTGTGATTCAAGTGGGTCGCTGGTCTCTTACCTGCATGACACAAAGCTTAGGCTGCGCTTAATTTACAGATTCACGTGAAATTTTTACATCTTGGTGCTAATTGTAGCAATTAGAGAAAGCTACCGAGTTTGACAAAGCCTAATGATATTACTGTAATTTTGATATAATTACCGTTAATTTACATTCAGCAGAACCAGCTTAGTTTGAATTTAAATGACAGAAACCAAGAGGAGATTTGCCAGTCCAGCTTCATCTAAAACTAACAAGCACACATCAAAATGCTCCTATATTAACTCATAACGCTTCCAGTTGCTAGGCTACCAGAACAGTCTTTATAGAGATGGTCATCCCTGTTGGCAGGTAGTAAATTCTCACTTTTTGATTTTATGACAGACTGAAAGAAGTAACTCTACACACCTGCCCTGTTCAGTCCGATTTAATCCAACACTACTTGGTTTTTCTAGAAATGCCGGTTCTTATGGGGAGGTGAGAATGTGCAAATAAACTCTGATGTGGACCAATAAAACAAACTCTGGTCTGTCTAAAAACCTCAGTCTGGGTTCAGTTGGAAGTGAACTCTGGTGCAGTGTGAATGCATATGTGAACGCCAAGCGAACCTGAGCCCACTCTAAACGCAGGGAACGCATTATAGGGAGAGCATTCTGGGTCTGTATGTCTGTTTTTACCAAAGAGAAATCCTACAACCGCTAGAATCTGACTCCGCTCTATTTTAGTTTACATTTCATGACGTCTTCTTCTGAGGTTTCGTGTTGTTTCCTTCAGTGGTTCTTGGTGCAGCGCCACCACAAGGGAGCGGGGGAACAGGTTTTTCTTTCACACAGTTCAGTGTGAAACAGAACCACAACTGAAAATGTAAAACATGTTGCATTTTTGGTCCCAAATCACACCAACTGGACCGAACTGGTGTGAAAACACCCTAAGTTGAACAAAAGTGTCTGCAAACCCAGCAGTGAACCGTCTGAGGTGTTAAAAGACAGAAAGTGAGGCTGGTCTTTAAAAGTAGTTTGGTCTTCCCATCTAAACTAGACTGCATTACAAACTGCCGCTGTCCAGTGTAGTGAGTGGAGATACCTTGGCATCTTTGGCGTAGTAAAGAGTTCGGCCTCTCAGTTTGAAGTAGCGCTTTTTCCACCTCTGGAAGGAGCTCGTCTGTTTCAGCAACAATCCTTCCTTTATGCTGGTCTGCAGGGAGAAAAGACACAACGGTTTCATGGACGCCCCCCATCACAGAACAACACAAAGCTTCACTCTCACATGTGGAACACCTTCCGGGAATCTGTCGACATAAAAAAGTGCCTGCTGTTTTGTGTGTGTGTGTGTGTGTGTGTGCATGCGTGTGTGTGTGTGTGTGTGCTCTGTGTGTGAGCTGTAATTTTACGCATGGGAGGAGAGGAACAGGCGAGAAGAAAAAGACCCATTTCACACACACACCAACCTCTCATTTCTCTAAAGAGGTTTAAACACACATCAGTCAGTGAAGCAATGGGTCAAGGAGAGAGTAACAAACAAAGATGGAGTGAACAGATGGAAGGGAAGAAAAACAGAGAAGGCAGCAACAGCTTTCAGATGAAGAATGAACTCCGGAAGTATCAGCTTTTAAACACAACGACGCTAAGAGAACATTACAAACACTGGAGGAGGCCAGTTTGACAGTCCTAAAAGAGACGTGTCATACTCACAGCGATGAATAAATAAGACGGCTTTAAAGGTGTTTCATTTATTTCAGACATCTCCGTTTGTATTTATAGTGCTTGTTCTACTTCTCATCCTCAGCTGGAGAAAAACAGAACTAGAGACTCCACCAGCTGAATCTTTGATTTAACTTTTCTTTCTTTGCATTTGGACGTGTGCCAAAAAATGTCAAATTCTGCTTTTATGTTTCACACAACGTCTCAACTTGATTAGAATTGGGGCTGTAAAATCATCACTTTACCATTCAAAACAGGTGTAAATTATTTACAGTTAGTGATGCACTATTAATATCTGTATCGGTTCTGATTTTGGAAAAAAAAAAACTCTAGATGTGCCCAATCCATAAGGGCAGATCTATTCAGTCTAATTCTATGGTTGGTGCTCTGAGTGATGTTATGCTTTATTATTTGTTTTACATTATTTTTAGAATTCTTAATTGCATATTTTGAACCACTTTTGAACAAGGCTTGATGCAGTTTAGTTTTTGCATGTTTGACAAAAGTAGAGGACTTATTGTTTTTGTTAGTTTCAGTTTATTTATTATCATTTAATGTGTATTGGCTGGTGTACTAATAATTGCATTGACTGAACAAATTAAAGTTGGTTTGTTTGTGTATGACAAAGATTTTGAAGTTATTGGATTAATTAAGTGTTATATAACAAATTTCTAATTCAGTACATTTGTGTCTGTGTTTAAAAACAAAACAAAAAATTGGTTTATGTCAATTCAGTAATGTTTTTATGTATCTGATCGATATCGGCCGATATTAAACCTCATATATCGATATCTGTATCATAAGTGAAAGAAGTGCATCTCTAACTAATACAGTAAGGAATGTCATTTTTTGATCAACTTGTTTTTTGTGAAGATGTTGCTAACTGCTGACATTTTCACATCTTAATCAATAAAAAAATCTATTTTATATTTACTTAGACATCTAAGTAGAAACTGTATTGTACATTTTATAAAAACAAGCTAATTCGTTTCCAGGAGATGTGTTGCTTTTGTAGCTCTGAGCAACTTTTGAATAGCTAAATCAAATGTCAAAATGGTCTATATGTATGTCTAAGTTTAAAAAAAGAAAAAAAAAACATTTTAAGGCAATTCAACAATGTTTTTCTGTTTTAGATCGGTATCGGCCATTAGCTCAGATATCGGTATCGGAAGTGAAAAAAGTGGACCGGTGCATCCCTATTAATAAGCCCTGCTTCTCTTCCTGTTTGCTGTAGTGAAGCCGCGCGTCTGAAATCCAAAATTCAGCATAATGATGCCGTGTGATGGTTCCAGCTGATGGTGTTGACACATGTTACAGGAGGAACATAAAGTTGAGGGATGGCAGAGATAATAAAACAAAGGTCGCCAGAGAGGTGTTTGAAAGAGGTATTTCCAATAAAAGAACATGGGTTTCCTGTCCTCTGCGGCGCGAGTGGTGTCCGTGTCACCGCGAATCAATCCCCGTGTGGAACAGTACACAGAGCCATCATCATTACGACCACCATCAACTTTCGCACGCACGCATACACACGCTGGACGTCTACAGCAAATAAAGCAGGGCACGGAACAGTGGGCGCGTCACAGATTAAGCACACACAAGCGCGCACAGATGCAAACGCTCAGCACCAAGAACATCATTCTCTACGGGCGCAGCGAGGCGAGGCGAGGCGGGTCGCACACAAACATGCACACGCTGAGGCTATTTATAGCGAAGGAAAGGCACTCTGTTAGGGGAGAATTACAAACAGACGTAGAGGTCTGAATCTGACATCCTGCCCACCAGCTGTGTCAACTTAAACACCACAGCAGAACACACACTCACACAGGTACGTCCGTGTAGACAAGACGGGAGATCATCATGTGCTTCCAAAGCACAGGGTGATGAGATATTTTAATAGACAAGGGCAAAAGATGAAAGAACTTTGTTTTAGTTTGTCATTCTGGATATGAATGAAGAGCAAAGGAACGAAACAAAGCAGAACAGGAAGAGGACGGAGAGGATTTTCCTAAACAGCCAGCCGTGCCTGCATTGATTCCCTCTGTTTGTTTCTGTAAGTTGTAGGACCGAATTCCTGCAATGGATTAAGGTGAAATACCTCAAAGCCGACTGCCGTATAAGGCTTGAGCAGCTGACCTGCTTCTACATTCAAAGTGGGACCATAGCAAGCCAGCGGATGAAATCATGTCCTCATATAGACCTGTAAGACTTCCAGCAAATAGCTGAGCTTATGAGGTACTTTCAGGGTCTTCCCTTTCTGCTACTTAAGCTGAGTAAACGGGAGTTTAGGGAATTCCAAGGCAGGGCACCGTTAATGACGGCGACGATTCAACGCCAATTACAAGTCAGTTTAAAACGGGCATCTGCCAATACGGTAACCACAACCCTCTCATGTCCCAGAACGCGATGATTATGTTAAGTCCATGAGAAACAAGATTAAACAGTCCTGTCAGGGACAAAATTTAAGACCTGTGACTAAGGTTTTTAAAATGGATTTAATTCATTTTAAGGCCTTGATTTTAGATACATGAATTTAAGACTTTTTAAGGATGTGAGGACACACTGTTTAAGTTACAATAAATAAAATATGCTGCTGTTGTACCTGTCTATCAAATCGTATCAAATGCGTAACAATTTTACTGAATCTAGCCACCTATAGAATAAACAATCAACCTATGAGTGTCTATAAAAAGTATTCACCTCCTTATATGTTTTACCCTTTTATTTATTTTACAAATCAATCACAGTCAACACGATTTGGCTTCCTTTTTTTTTTTTGTCAATTCTTCCTACCCCAAAACAAACAAAACAAATCTCTTTAACATCAAAGTGAAAACTGATTTTTAAAAACAATGGCATGCAGATACAAATATGAACATAAAACAAGTGACTGCAGAAATATTCACACCGAGCCTAATTCAACAGAGGTCCAGCCAACTGGTGCCGGTCATCTCACAATGAGTGGACTGGAGGCCACCTGAGAGCCTCCAGTGACTGTACTTTAAGGAAACGTGCGTCTTTATACTCCAACATAAATACTTCGGAGCGATGCCCGCCTCATTTCCTATTGGAAACAAACTTCTTTGTTGAATGGAAATGATTTTCAAACTTAATATTTAAAGGATATGAACAATTTGGAGCTTAACTGCAGATAGTCATGAGTAATGGCACTAATTAAACCAAAAAAATAATGCATATGGTCTATAGATGTAGAAATCACATAACTTTGCAAGCTGTCCAAACAAAAATAGACTGGAGTTGCCTTTATTCATGTACTCTTAATACTAATGACTTGATCATCTAATCTACCAAGTGACAAGTGATGAAAAAATACTTTCATCACTTGTCAGAGAAGACATAAACACAGCCAGAGAGGCACAGAATAAATAGCATGATGATGAGTGTCGGACTGCACTACTTGATGACTGGGTGGTGTTCTGAGCACGTCACATGTGACTGAAACAAAACTGAGCAGAGCTGCATGAAAACCTCAATATATATTTATACTGAGGATTAAAACTTCCAGAAAACTTTAAAGCAGCTGAAACAGTTCTTTTAAATTAAGGCCAGCCCCCTAACCCCTTCCACTTAGAGTTGCTTTTGAACACAAATAACTGGAATATTGACCAACATATTCTATGTGTATTGATGATTTTAATGAGGGCACTCATCAATAAGCAATGTTTGTCACTGGTTTCTCAATTGTTCACTGTATGTTGTTTGCATAACTTCTTATTCTTGTGTTTTTACGATGTAACACACTTTGAACTGCCTTGTTGTGGAAATATGGTATACCAATAACATTGATTGATTGATTGATATTTATGAACAACATTTCCATCCACCGTCTTTGAGCTTCCACAGTCCCAAGCTGGAGTCTTGATTCTCCATGGCCCACCATTCTTTGCTCCAGTTCTATTTTCTATTTTGCTCCTCCTTGGCCTCCATAGTTCCTCTCCTTGTCTTCATCTCCTTCCTGTTGCCAAGTAGGCCAGAAGTGATCTATAAATAGCCCGCTGCTCGCCTCTGTGCTCTGCTCTTCTCATCTGCTAAACTACGAGACAGAGAGCAAGTCCTGTGTTGAGGAGAAACCAGTAACCTGAGCAACATGTACCTTCCACCCACACCGTGCCTGGCTCCTGGCAGGGTGACACACGGCCTCCGAGCAGCACAAACACACACACGCTTACACAATGGACAAAGGCACAGGCGGCTCAAATGAATCCAGCAGCTGTTGCTGCTGGATAAGAGCGGCGCTGGAGTTCCCTCATAGGAAAGCTGAGCGGGCCCATGTCCTGCCTTTGATAACACCCAGACAGGCAGCCAGTCAGAAAGCTAACTGTTGACTGTAAGAGTGGACCTTTCATGAAGCTAAGCCGCAGCAAACTGGATCAGCCATCCGTCCTTCTAATGGGATAACTCCTCTGTCCCAGATTGCTGTCCTAAACCAATTGCTTTGCCTTTCTGAGACTCACAGAGGATTCAGTCTAATTAGAC